GGTAACGCCAGCTACATATCGGACAGCAGGTTTTCCGCAACATAATCACCCATAAAGTAGCGCATCTTCTTATTTCTTCAATCAACGGTTACAATCTAAATTGGTGCAAATTGAAACGGATTAGGTTAACTTTTTTTGCTAGTTCTTTCATAAACAACTTTGAACGTCAACTATCAATGTATAATAATTCAAAATTTGACTCTAATTGAGTGGTATGCTCCACTGTGTCTGTAAAACAAGACGGCGAAGAGTTATCTCCTCCTCCACCCGGATAAAACGCACATTAACCTGCTTTTATTTGCCCAGTTTACCCACTTTTCGCAATAAAGTAGCGCTACTCCTTTGGAATTCGGTGGCCGATACAGCTTTACGAAGCACTAAATTGCTAGTAAAATTTCTGACGTTGCCTTTGGCCCTTTAGCCCCAACGGAAAACGGAATTATTTACTACATTTGATGAGGAAAGGCCGTATAAATTGTAAGCAAAAGAGACAATATTATTTATGCAGGATAAAGGGGGATAATAAGATCCAATAATGAGAGGAACATAAAATGTCAACGGTTCAAGAGATATGTGTGTTTTAAATAACTAACGAATTCTTGAAATAGTTATATTTTTGACATTTTGACCAATGTTTTTTCTTTTTTTGTTATTGCATCTATAGATATTTCTCCTAAATAGTTAAGTATTCGTGATGGTTGGACAAAATTATTACAAATACCACTTGAATATTAAAACCACCAACAAGAAGGTTTCCGTTTACATACATACATACTGCCATTACTCGCTGACGAGTATTTGACACCCATCAGAAGATGGTCACGCATTGCGTTTTCTTTCATGACCTTCTCTGTGACTGAAAAGCCCGATACGTGATGTTATCTGTCTACCGCACTCCGGACATTCAAAAATCTCATTGCTTTGTTGCCTCTTTACTGTTTGGTTGTCTCTGTTAACTGAGTTTATAATTCTTCTCCATTCCGTTCTATTGTGAGCTGCGTCTTCCCAGTCATTCTGTTTGTTAATCCCCTTTAAGTTTTCGTGGAAAATATCCTTGTACCTTTTGAGTTGTTCACCCGGCCTCCTCTTATCGTCTACAAGCTCACCGTAAAGCAGAGATTTTGGTATGCGGTTTTCTTGCATTCTACATACGTGACCAGCCCATCTTAAGCGAGACTTTGTAATCATGACTTCAATACTCCTGCAGTTAGCTTTGTCAAGGACAGATACGTTTCAGATATGATGGAACCATTTGATTCTTAAGAGTTGTCTAAGATGTCTCTGTTGCAAATTGTTTAATGTGTGTCGGCGGTACGGCGCGGCACCCAGGTTTCGCTTCCTTATAACATGGTGGGAATTATTATTGCTCGGTACATTGCAAGTTTTGTTTTTTTGCTCAAGGTCATGATTGTAGAAAACCCTGCCTTTTAATTTCCAGAATGCTCTCGGCGCCGCTAATCCTGTGCTGAATTTCAGAGTCGATATTGGCGATAGGTTTCCGTTTGTATTCAAACACTGCGGTATTTTTTATAAATAATCTCTATTGTCTATACCTTTGTGTGGGCTTTATTTCGTTGAAAAAGTCTAGGTTTTTCTCCACTGGAAAGGAAATGTACATAATTAAAATGTTCTTTTTTGTAAACATCGCTGCGTTGAATCCAAACAGGCACCAGTTTGTCAGTGGCCTTTTGCTAGTTAGTGCAAACCAAACCAAACCAAACCAAAAACAAGTTCGCCTAACCGACAAAAAATGCTTAAAGTTTCCGCTCGTCAGAAGCAAAAAATATAAAAAATCCAAAAATACACTCATTATCGTCGACCGAAATGATTAATTCACGAGCGATGAAATCGCGAGTGAATTAATTTCGGGAGGCGATAATGCCATTTTATCGTCCTGTATAAAACAATATTTTTTTCCATAGCGAGTTGCGTTTTAAAAAATATTCAGAAATTATTATTTCAAGGAATTTATTACGAGTAGAAAAAATATTATGCTGGGTTGGCGTTGGTTTCTATGTAATTTGACAAATAAATAAAGCTGTCTCTTTAGTTGTCAGTTTTGAGTCAATATTTTTTTAACTCTCTTTCGTGTCGATTGTTGATTGAATTGGAGCAAGAAATGGCTCAAAACGAAATAAGTAAATTAGCAACAGATATTCAGGCTGAGGCGACAAGCGCCATATCCAAACTACTTCCATTTAAATCCCGAATAACTGATGAAAAGGAATACAAAAATTTTCAAAAACGGAGCAATTAAAAAACGTGCGAGAAGAAATGAAGTTTTTAACCTATCCTCACTGTTAAAGTACCTATCATTTAATCTACCTTTGCGGTTATATTCCCCTTGCATATTCTATGATTTACCCTTCTATGATTTACCCTTGCATATTCTATGATTAAACAAAGAACGGCGTCAGAGTTGGCTTGGAAATGAAGATCGCTGTTATTTCATGTGTAAAATATTATGTTAAAAGTCAATAATCGTCATCTCCAAGCCAACTAAGCTACTTTTTTCAATCACACGATATATTCGGTACCTATAAAAGAATTTTTATTTTTGTTGTGTATTTTACGTTTAACACGAATACTCATTTTCAATACATAAACGCGGATTTTTCATCCAAAGATATTTTCGTCAAATGTATTACATATATTAAACATTTTACTTGTTACTAATTCGACCATTAGTTTGCGTATCTTCCCAATTCTTTCAATCAAAGGTGCTACTTACAGCATATTCACCAAAAAAAAATGATGGTATTTAAGATAATTACGAAAGCCCTGTTTGTTCACACAGTAACATCCTGTAACTTTAAATCTATGTATTTCCGCACCCATGTATATTAGTCTAAGAGCTAGCAACGTTCTCGACAAAGTATTTTAAGACGTCTGGCTCTTTGATATATCTTTTATTATGCTCTCTGGAACAGCGTGCAGGCCGTCTGGCTGCCGATACACGTTGCGTTCACTACTGCGCATCCAAAGATTCTCTATTTTTCACTTAGCGCTTTAAATTCTAGTATTGAATAAAAGTCGAGTAAGTCTCAATTAGCTCAGCGCATAGAGCTTTCGCCTATGAAGCGATGGTCAGTGGTTCGATACCGGCTGGGGTGCAACTTTTTTTATTTTTTTTTTTCGTTTATATTCTGATAGCAAAGTATTAAATAATTGCTTTTTTATCACCAGAACGGATACCGTTTATGGGTCTATGATCCGTAGTGTATATAAGTAGAATTTGATACTTTCATTTGTTTTGAAGGATTATTGTAGTAATTAATTATTAGATAGGTTTAGGATGGTCTGGCTGCCGCGCCGGTAGGTTGCGTTCACTACTGCGCATCACATGGGTACAGGGTGTCTTATTTTCGTGCGTTTTTTGGGATTTGGGATATCTGGGATTTCTCGTTTATGAGTGGAGATACAATGATGCGTTTTATTTTCACATTACTTTGCTAGTTTTTTATGTAACTAAATATTCTACCCCTAGATTTGCTCATTTTCTACACATTAACATTAATCAATCTTGTTTAAAAAGTATTATTATTTTATTTAATTTAATTTAACCAGAAAATTTTGTTTTCCATCGTTATCTTAACAAACTGAACTGAAAATAAACTTGTGTAGCTTTTAGATAACAATCTGTTAAAAAAGTATTATTAATAAAATGATTATTAAAATAATAAACAACAGCTGAAAAAAATATTTTGAAGAAAGACAGGCAGAAATTACCTTCATAAAGCATTAAAATGTTAATTTTTATATATTATGTTTAAATCTTTAAAATGAAATTATAAACGAGAAATCCCAAAAAGGCACAAAAATGGGACACCCTGTACACATGTGATGCGCAGTAGTGAACGCAACCTACTGGCGCGGCAGCCGGACCATTCTAAACCTGTCTAATAATTAATTACCACAATAATCCTTCAAAACAAATGAAAGTATCAAATTCTACTTATATGCACTACGGATCATAAACCCATAAGCGCCATCCGTTCTGGTGATAAAAAAGCAAATATTTAATACTTTACTATCAGAATATAAACGAAAAAAAAAATAAAAAAGTTGCACCCCCAGCCGGTATTGAACCACTGACCTTCGCTTCATAGGCGAAGGCTCTACGCGCCGAGCTAATGGAGACTTGCTCGATTTTTATTCAATGCTAGAATTTAAAGCGCTAAGTAAAAAATAGAGGATCTTCTTTGGATGCGCAGTAGTGAACGCAACGGGTATCGGCAGCCAGACGTGCCGCATGCTGTTCCAGAGAGCATAATAAAAGATATATCAAAGAGCCAGACGTCTTAAAATACTTGTTTTCTCGACGTTGCTAGCTCTCGTACTATATGTATAGGAACTTTTTTTCATATTTCAATTTATTGTCATTAGAATTGGATTCAGACAAATTAATATAATTGCGTTTATCTCATCAAGGAGACCGAAATCGACAAAATATCAAGAGACAACTTTTAATTATCGGTCTACATAGTTTGGTAACAAGAGAAAAAAATGTCAGTGGTGCACATGTTTTTTTCTGAAAAAATATTCTAGTGGCAACCGTGCATGTCCCTGGTGAATATGGCGACACTTTTTTAGCAATAAAATATCACGCATTTATAGTAACTTTTACCCTAAAAATTTAATTCGATTCGCTATAAGCACTTGGAAGAAAATTATAATAAATCGAAAAAAAAATGAAGACTAAACCCTGTAGCTACGAAACGAAGCAGAATCGGACCTATGTTGATATGAAAAATAAATCTTATTTTTACGAGAGGAATCTCCTCACGAGAGATGGCACATGTTTTTTGAAACACCCTGTATATTTTATTATTGGAATGCAAAATGATTAAAGTTTTTATTACTTACATGAAAAACCAAAGTAGTTTATTGGATTGAATTTCTTAAGGAGAACAAAATCGAACTAACGTTTTTTCAACGATGATACTTGATAATGATAGATGCCATGTAATGTTCTTATTTGGGTTCGCAATTACATGCTCTGAAGGAAACTCTAAGACTATATAAAAAACCAACTTTATTTCGAATAACTAGTACAATCTGTTCTCGTGTAAATCTTAACAGTAAATTGAATTCGGTTAACCCTAATTAGCATATCGCGCGACATCCAATAATGCATAGTTGCATTCCTAATATTATATAAACAACTAATTCTAAACATATAATATAAACTGACCTTAATTAACTTAACTTAAGAAATACTTATATCTAAACTATTATGTACAGGGTGTAATAATATGTATACACTACAGCCGCCTGCCATTTAAATTTACAGGTGAATTGTTTTTCTCTCAATTTATGGATGTTGCCAGTCGAAATTATCTGTGACACGTTGAGCAAAGTTTTCTTACAAACAAATAATTTGTATTTTCAAAAAAAATAATCTTACGTAAAATTAATAAGGCGAAATAGGTAAAATATAAATAAATATATTATATAGTTACAAACAGGTACAAATTATTATATTCGATAGCAATATTTCAAAATATCAATCTAATATAGTATTTATCTCTTAATCTTCCGGAAGTTTTAAACATTAGGTCAAAACAAAAATAAATTAATCTTATCAAAACTATAAACAGTCTTAGCAATCATGCGATATTTTTTATTCCTTTGCCAAGTCATTTAAACTTTTCGGCTTTTTATTGATGGAGTTTCGGCAAATGACACGCGCTTTTTATGAAGTGCGTTATTGGCGTTCTGTTCACTGATTTCCAAGTTGTTCAACAATCTTACAATGGATAAATTTCCACATTGTCGTGCAAGCAGAGACGGTGTCAAATCACATTTATTCCTCCTCATCAACAGATCTTTCCTATAAAGCGCTATAACAGCTAATTCATTTTCATTAGCTGCAGCACAATGCAACGGCAGATCACCATTGACAGTCACACTCTCTGTATCAGCGCCATTTTTCAACAAAATGTCGAATGTCTCCAAACTCGTCTTTTTGCATGCTGCTACATGAATAGGAGTATAATCATCCTCGTCCTTCTGGTTGACATTTGCATGATTTTGTATAAGAAGTGATGCTATGGAGGTGTAATTGTTCTCAGCAGCGTAGTGTAGAGCAGTAGATCCGTTGATGTCAACACAATCTATAGGGACGTTATTCAAAATAAGGTACTCGCAAGTTCGGATTTTATTATGAAGTACTGCCAGATGTAATAATGTTTGATTTAATGCCGTTTTAACAGTACAATCTCCTCCAAATTCAATTAAAATCTCGATAAGGTCTTCAAATTCACTTCGAATAGCTTCTTGCAAAGGAGTCTCTCCGCAAGCAGTGCGACTATTCACATCAAGACCCTTTTCAAGGAACATTCGCACAATTTCTTCGTCGCCAGATTTGACAGCCACGTGCAGTAAGGTTTCGTTTCCTTTGTTTTTTATATCAATTTTCGCATCCTTCTCGATCAGCGAGGTCGTTAGAGTCAGGTCTCGGGACTTGACCGACTCAAAGATCGGGGTTTCACCGCTGTAGTTTCTGGCGTTTATATCAGCACCCTTCGTTAGCAGGAGCGTAACGATGGAGGAGTGACCATTGCGGGAGGCCAGATGGAGGGCAGTATTGTGCTTGCGGTCTGGGAAGTCGGGGTTTGAATTCAGGCTGAGGAGTTTCTCGACTGTTTCGAAGTGTCCTGGAAAGAAAAGAAAGTATGACTTTGATGAAAAGATAAAATGAAATCTGAGAATATTTTTCAAATTAAGAGTGTTAAAATCAAAGATAGAAATACTCTCAAGCTTAACCAGCGATTTAGAAAATATTTATCATAAACTCGCTAAGGATTAACATACGTTTATAAGCAAATTTGTGGATTCTACAAAAATATATACAGTGTGGTCCGAACTGTATTCCGGAAACACCGGCAGCATATTCCGAAGAGAAAAATAAGCAAAAATGTTCGTATAAATGTATGTCCTAAAATGCTTAGTTTCGGAGATACAGGGTGTAGAAGTTTCATTTTATTTCGATTTTTTCCAAATAATTTCCGCGTGATTGGTGTTTTTGACATGAGAAATTTGGATTTTGACGTTAATATGACTCCTACTAGTAGAGGGCGCCACCTACATATTTTTTAACTGGTTTGAAGAGTAATAACTTTTCGTCCGTACCTGTATAAAACCACTGAGTAAAAAAAATATACATTTACGACGATTTTTACATAATCGTCTCTTGGTAAAAATCGCTATGAGTAATGGTTTTCGAGATATTTGGAATGGAAATTATCAATACCTGTCATCATTGACATAAATTAAACGTGTTGACGAAATAGTTATTAGACTGAGATCATAAATGTGAAATGTTTTTGTGCCATAAGTTCAACATAAACTGTTTTATTATTGTTTTTTTTTGCAGAAAAATTTACGATTAATTTAAAAAAATAAAAATTTCCCAAATTTATTATTTCAGTCAAACTATCAAGTCAACGTTTGTCAAGTCAATGTGTTGCTCCTAGCGATTGTTACAAAGAGATATTTTTTACGTAAAAAGTCACAAAAATGTCACAAAACATACAGGTACGTACAAAATGTTATTACGCTTCAAAACAGTTAAAACACATGTATAAGTAGCGCCCTCTACCAGTAGGAGTTATATTTACATCAAAATCAAATTTGTCATTTCAAAAAACTCCTAGACACCAATTTTCATCTAAATATTGACGTTACTTCAGAAATTGTTTGGAAAAAATCGAAATAAAAATAAAACTTCTACACCCTGTATCTCTGAAACTAATAATTTTAGTACATACATCTATACGAACTTTTTTACTTTTTTTTATCTACGGAATACGCTGCCGAAGTTTCCGGAATACAGTTCGGACCACCCTGTATATTTTCTTTAATTTATGTATCCTAATTGCAACAAGCTGTATAAAATATAAAATAACATATAAAATAATGAAAATCTAATTGCGGATCATTGCACTCAAAAATCGATTTGTTACACGCAAAGAACTATTTTTTACGCGTAAAAAACCTTTTGTTACACGTAAAAAACTATTTGTTACTCACAAAAAACCTTTTTAAATTTATTACTTTATCAGCATTTCAAACTGCACTTTTTCAAACATGTCCTTCAAATCCTTCAATTTAATAGTTGTTAGTAACAAATTTCACTTCAAACATGCGCACATACTGCACACATAATTTTTTTAGAGTAAAATTTAAATACCCATACACAGGGTGTCCCAGAAATAAGTGCAAGTATTTTAACTGGTAGTATAGTTCAACCCCAGAAACAAGCCTATGGGGTAATTTTCGCGAAAAAAAAATTGAAAATTTTTTTGGATTTTTTTTTAGTTTTTATTTAAAAAAATAATTTCTTGATAATATGGCAACATAGATAGCAGATTAAATTTACAAGAAAGAAAATCCAGAAAAGATCCAGTGGTTTTCAAAATTTTGGCAAAAACTTATTTTTCTTGGAAATTTTCAAAGTAAAATGACTCCGTTATTTTGGACTTATTTGAAAAACGATAAAGAGAAAATATGTTTCTTTTATCGAGATATACCACCCTTTAAAATATTTGCACTTATTTCTGGGTCACCCTGTATTACAATAATTAAATTCAACTACTGTATACTACAAAACACATACTTATATATGCTGTTTTCTATATAAAGTTTCTTTAAAACGAAAATATATTTGAATTTCACAAAAGATTAATATAAGATAGTAACGGAATCGGGGCAAAATAAAACATTAATTTACCAAAATACTTTACTTTTAAACAATGGACGCGCGTTTCCTTAACCTTGTTAGCATTATCATCAGATGATTAAGACTTTATTTTTGTTACTTTTAGTCATCTGATGGTGATGTTAACATGGTTACGAAACCGCACGTAAATTGTTTAAAAGTAAAGTCTTTTGGTGTATTGGGGTGAATTAGTGTTTTATTTTCCTTCCAAAGGTTCCAAACTCCCAACTGTAATAACGGAATAGGAAATTAAATTATTTTAGGTAAATAGTGCCGTAATAATTAAATATATTTGTGTACTGTTTATTTCATAAAATTTAAAACATTTTAGTATGTCCTATCTAGTTAAAAAATTATTTATTAATCATAATTAATTATCACTTAAATTTAGATAAGTACCTATATTAAATACCAAGTGAATCATCGTTTTATATATTTTCGGTAATATTTTCTGTAATAATTCAAATACCTTATTTAAACATGTATATATTCTTAATATATTATCCGCTTATTAAGATGATATCTTAACATATATACAGGGTGTCCCACTTAAGATGGATACAAGCCAATATCTTAGTTGCTTGTTGAGCGATCTTTTTCATTTTTGGCAGGAGGCTATATGGCTATAAGACGTACATTTTGCCCAGGGTAAGAAATGATACCTCATAGACGATACCTCATAGACGAAACGATACTTCATAGATGTACGTTTTAATCGAGGTTTTAATGGGGTTTGATATTTTTCGAGTCAAGAGTAAACTACCCTTAGGACAGTATTTATTTCAAAAAATAAGACATTTTTATTTTTATTATTATTTTTTTAAGTACTTACGACGCCACTGAATAAACAACTGGTTTATTATGAATAACAAATTATACCCAATTATCAATTAATAATCGATTTAACTTTGGTCGAAGATTTTAGAATTTAGAATGAGGGGGGGGGTTAATCACTTCGACCTTAGAGATCCATTGTGTCCCCCTTTCTTGAATCATAACTCATCATACAGTCCCAGGGCTTTGACAAAAGCCAGTATCTGGGACGGTTTTATAGAGGGTAGTTCTCCATCTCCAATATCAGTCGTACCAAAATTCATGGCACGAATGGTTGTCGTCTCGGCGCACTCAGTGATGAGGTGTCTAAATTCTAAAAATTCTAATTGGTCGAAGATGGTCGAAGATGTTGACTTTTAGTTCGTTATAGTTATATAAATCTTGGTTTAGAACATTTATTTTTCTAAGTTAATAGGGGGGGTGATTGTTTTAAATAACTATTTGGATTTTTTAAAAATATTCCTCAATAAAACGAATAAAAATTATATTTCACATTCCATTGAAAACTGGGTTTTTAAATTATTTTTTAACTCATTTTATTCATTTCTATTAGAAAACTTATTTTTTTTAAAGTAAAGGAAATAAATTGAAAATATTTATTTTTGTGTATGTGTGTGTGTATCGTATCCTAATTATTATGGAAGCTATCTGAAAACTTAAATCGATTATTATTGATAATTGGTTATTGATAATAAACCAGTTGTTTATCCAGTGGCGTCGTAAGTACTTAAAAAATAACAATAAAAATAAAAATGTATTATTTTAATAACACACCCTGTATCAATATTTATAAAAATTAGATCTTAAGTATTTTGGGTAGGAGGATTCAATATAATTTATCAAATTTGAAATAAATACTGGTCCTAAGTTTACTCTTGACTCGAAAAATATCAAAAAATGAAAAAGATCGCTCAACAAACAATCAAGATATTGGCTTGTATCCATCTTAAATGGGACACCCTGTATATGTACCAATATAAAATATTTTTTATATAAATTAAGATTGAGCTTAAATTTTTGTTTTTCCTCCCTTAAATAGTGCTTCCCAAAATGTTTTTTCCTACAAATAAGATAATCTGATTTTATTTGTGACGTAATTACGATCGCCTTGATTATTTTTATTTTGTAATGTATATTTTTTTTGAATCCTATATTTATATTAAATATAGAAAGTTAATATATTTTCTATGAAAAAATTCAGCTGTTGTAGTCATAAACGTTTAGTTTACCTCTATGCAATTCTCAGAGAAGCTCTTAAAGAATTTAAATAAAATATACACTCGAATGTAGCCAAATCTTTACTAACGTTTTTTTTAGTTATACTATTATTATTATATAAAATATTAATAATATCTAGAAAAAATTCCATAAAATTTTTACGAAAAACACTAAAATAACTGTTGTGTTAGGTTTTATTGTTTGTTTGACCATTTTAGATTTTACAGATCTCTTTTAACGATTAAAGCTTGATTTTAACGATTAAAGCTCGATCTATCGTCGGACAACGGATGCATGAAAATCAAGCTTAACTTAAAATAACACTAAAATTACCTTGATCAGCAGCATAGTGTAACAAAATATTCCCTTTTCCATCTGGCCGATTCACGTCAATATTATAAAGCCCGATATTATCCAATGCCAAGTTCAAAATAGGAAAACAACCATTTCTTGCCACTTCATACAAGTCGAAATCCATGAAGAAATAAAGTTGGTTAGTTGTCTGACACGCGACGCGTTATTTATTTATTTATACTGATCGTTTTACGCTTGTTGGCGAGATATCAAAGATAGTGACGATTCATTATGATTTTCTTATCAAGTTTCGTAAGACAGATACTGAAAATAATATGTATTTATGTTTTGTAGGAGAATGATTAATATTGTAATGTGGATTTACTGAATTTTATCTTTGCAATATTGTATTGGAATGCATAATTTTAGGATAAAGATATACTGGGTGTTCCAGGCTGAGCGTGCATTAGAAGTTTCTAGAGAACTACAATATCTAGATCATAATATTTTTGCATAATTGCTTATAACGATATTTTTATTTTATTTTGGACCTAATATTATTCTTTTTATATTTTTGGACATATTGGCTTACTACACGACTAACTAATATTAAATTAATAATCTAAGTGCAACTAGGCTGTTATTATAATTTTATTTCATAATGTGTGAAAATCAACAAAAACAAATTTGATTTTAAACAGAAAATATTGAAAACATTTTAATTATTTCTCAAAACTAATAGTCTGTATTACCTGAATGCAAGCTGGGAGACGACGGCGACGTGGCATGCTCTCAATTAAGTTGTCCAGAATATGTTGAGGAATGGCTACCCATGTTTCGCGCGCAGCAATTTTCAATTCATTTAAGATACGGGGGGTATCATTCCTTTTGGCAATATGGCGTTTTAGCATGTCCCAAGCATGCTCAATCAGTTTCATATCTGGAGACATCGGTGGCCACCACAGTTTTCTTATACCCTCTTCCTCACAAAATTCGCGAACCGCTAAAGTGCTATGGGGAGGAGAATTATCGTGCATGTAAACAAATTGATCCCCCACTGCCCCTCGAAATGGACGCACAATAGGCTCGAAAGCGTCTCTAAGATATGAGGCACCTGTCATTGTGCCATCAATAAAAACAAGAGGAGTTCGAGCTCCGTGCATTATACCTGCTCATACCATAATGCTTCCCCCTTGAAACAGGACACGGGGTTGGGCTGCATTCAAGCGTGTTCGTCTTCCAGATGCTCTCCAGACCAAAATTCGTCGCGAGTCTGACACTAGGCCTATTCTTGTTTCATCACTAAACATGACGAAATTCTAAGTTCATCTCCTCAGCCCATTGTAGTCGCGTAATTTTGTGCTGTAAATTAAGCTTCGGTTTGGTTTGGTTTGGTTAAATATAATCCTCTGTCATGAAATCTTCTTGCTATGGTCTTTCTTGAAACATTTACTCCTTCAAGGCGAGCTAAATCATTTTTAATAGTAGTACTAGAAAGCAGGGGACTGCGTCGTGCAATTAGGGATATTTGACGGTTTTGTACAGCAGTAGTCTCTTTCTACCTCTTCCAGGTCGGGCCGGTCTGTAACCTCGTTTGTCTCCCTGAATTTTTTTAATATTCGCGAAACATCGCTTTGGTTAACACCTACAATTTCAGCTATTGCAACTTGCCGGTAGCCCAGTTGAGACAGTGTTACTATTCTGACTCTATTAAACTGTGAAATAATAGATAGCATTTGAAGGCCAAAACAATGGTCAAATTTCTTCTGAAACCCAAGAGACCACAAATCGAAATGTGCAAGAATTTGTAATAATATTGGGTCTGAACAATAAACATTGTTTACTATAAATATCCGTTTTAACAAAAAAAAAATTATTACAATTTATCAAAGCTTTGTATAAAAAAATATTATTTAAATTTCTTTCCGTATATTTTTAAACGATATATGCAATAATTTTGGCCATGTGTGTATTTGTTTTACAACGAGATAACTTAAAACGGAACTGAAGAAACTGAAAGACTCCTTTGGTAACCTGTAATGGGAATCCTTCAAGACACTCAAAAAAGTTACTCTATAGATCAAATATTTTTCGTGATTTAAGTAAAAACAATCTTAGGATTGTCACGGGGCTTCTAACAGGATACTGTCTCCTCAACAAATACCTCAGTAGATTAAAGCAGAGAAACAACAGCAAATGCAAATTCTTTGGGGAAAATGGGGAAACACGACAACATGTTTATTTTTTGTCAATAATGACATGCATTGACTATTGCCATTTTAAATATCTTGAGAACTGTTGTAGCGATTTTTAGCAAAAGAAATTTATATTTTTTCACTCAGTAATTTTATACAGGTACGGACGAAATTTTATTACACTTCAAAACAGTTAAAACACATGTAGGTGGCGCCCCCTACAAATAGGAGTCATATTGACATGAAAATCAAATTTCTCATGTCAAAAAACTCCCAGACACCAATTTTCATCGAAATATTGACGTTACTGCACAATTTATTTGGAAAAAATCGAATGAAATTTCTGCACCCTGTATCTCCGAAACTAAGCATTTTAGGGCATACATTTATACGAACTTTTTTGCTTATTTTTATCTGCAAAATATGCTGCCGAAGTTTCCGGAATACATTTCGGACCACCCTGGAGATTGCTTCTAGGGTATATAGGGTGTCATTGAAATGGTGCAAAAAATGCAGGGCGGAAATATTAAGAGAGTTAGGGGCACTGAAAGGGTGAATTTAAAAAACGGTTGATTTGAAATTGTAGGCTTAAAAAACGAGATAAAATTTCGAAAAAAAATCGTCTGCCACAAATTTTGACCCTAAATCAAATGATAATACTGAAAACTTATTTAAAAAAGCGGAAAGGGTAGTTTTTGCAAGGGTAGGGGGTTGTTTCGTAAATAACTTTTTTGAGGTTATTTCTTTTGCAACGTGGGTTCATTTTTTGAAAACTACACATATTTTCCTACAAAAAAGATACTCTTGTTGCACATCGCCCAGAGCGATGGTTTTCTAGAAAATTGAAGACAAAGAGTTCGTTCTGATGGGTTTTGCTAACTGGTTAATCAACATAAACTTATGAAAGTTCTGGCGGTTTAAAAAGTAACCAAGTAGTTATCAAATAATTAATTGAAAAATCAAAATTTTATGATTTCTTAAACATCTTATTGCTTTAATAACGAAATAATCCAATTACCAAAATTCCTTATTAAAATAATGAATTCATTCACAGTAAATGTTCAAAGTGACCACCATTCATTTTAATGTAGACATCTGATCTTCTTCTCCACGATCTATGTACCCTGTGGAATATTCTTGGTGTTGTTCGAATTTGATTGGAACAGTCAATAATGCGTTGCCGTAGTTGCTCTTCAGTATTAATCGGCACTGAGTAAAACAATTTTTTTTAAAACCAAAAATGTTTATTTCGTTTTTAAAGCAATAAGATGTTTTAAAAATCATGAAAATCTGAGCAAACATTTTGCCTTCAATTTTTTCCAAAACCATCGCTCTGTGCGATGTGCAACAAGAGTACCTTTTTTGTAGGAAAAAGTATGTAGTTTTCAAAAAATGAACCCACGTTGCAAAAAAAATAACCTCAAAAAAGTTATTCACGAAACAACCCACTACCCTTGCAAAAACTACCCTTTCCGCTTTTCCGAATAATTTTTCAGCATCACCATTTGATTTAGGGTCAAAATTTATGGCAGAGAATTTTTTTTCGAAATTTTATCTCGTTTTTTAAGCCTACAATTACTAATCTAACCAAAACTACAAAACAACCGTTTTTTAAATTCACCCTTTCAGTGCCCCTAACTCCCTTAATATGCATTTTTCGCCCTATACTTATAGGAACTTTTTTTATTATTTTTAGGAGTACTCTCACCCCCCGTTTTTTTACACCATTTCAATGACACCCTATAGAAATGCGATCAAAGTCAAAGACAATGATTATTCTCAAATTTGTTAAAGCAAAATACGAGGGGCAAACCTCTGCCAAAAATGGTGTACAATAAATACCAATTTTGGGAAAAAAGTACCAAAAATACCAAATTATTTCCAAAAAATTTCCAAATTAGAACCAAAAATACCAAATTAGTACCAAAGTCTGTCTTAAGCAACATGTTTGGTGCGCCAAGACGACAACCGTTCGTGCGATAAACTTTGGTACGGTTGATGTTAAAGATGGAAAGCTGGCCTATATGGAGCCGTCTCAGATACTGTCTTTCGTCAAAGCCCTGAGACTGTATGATGACTTGTAACTCGTTATAACTCAAAAAAGATACATTCTACATTCACAACGAGATCGATTAAAAATATTTTGAATATGGCGGCACTTAATATACCTTTTATTTGACAGCAACTTTCTTATTTTGAAAGGATACTTCCATTTTTTTTATTACATACTGAATCCACGCAAAGGAAGTAGGCTGCGTCCAGATTAGCCCTGACAGAAAAAAAAGAAACGTTGACTTAAGATACTCTACAATTATTTATAATGAAATAGAAAATTCTGTATAAATATGCGACGCTTAATGTTTCTTATTTTGCCTTCCTGTATCTCTGGAAACACATAATTATTCTCTTGTGGCAATCTGTAAATTCATCAAGAAAGCAAATACGCGAAAAATAGGAAATTAAATTAAAACGAGGAAAATCGTCAGACTTGTCAATTTAGGAACGCTTCTCTTTGTGGCCCTAATTTTCCGAAATGCTGAATATTTTAGACAGGGGTAGGGTAAATTTTCACCCTTCCGAATATACATATAACCCCAAAACAGGAAGAACGAATAAAGATAGAGAAATATAAGAGAAATATTTTCAATTTTTTTCATAATTAAGAAGTAGTTAATTAAAGACATGAATATTATATACAGGGTCGCTTTTATGTATGGAAATGGTCGATTATTAGGTAAGATATAGGAGGTACCGCAAAAAGTTAAATACAACAGTTATAGGATTTTTAAATATCTATTAGTGAGTAATAAATTTAAGCATACTGGGTCGTTCATAAAGTCGTGGCACATCAAAGTTTCATTTTTTAAAATAGAACCCTGTGTATATTATTACATATTTCAATTCTTCCTTCAATTCTAAGCAAAAATCGAAATACACACAATGTAGCTTAAAGCAACCGTTTCCGAGTTATTGACCTTTGGAAAATATCACTTAAACAATTCGATTTAATTAATTTCGATGTGTTTGGTTTGATTTAATGATGCCAT